CTCTAAATATTCCATCCTTCACCTTTCTCTTCACACCTCTTATTTTTCAAAGCCGTCTTCTTAGGTCAAACTCTCGCCATCAGCATGTCTGCACGACTGAACTTTGTTTTCTTCCTTTTAACCATGCATCTCTTTCAGGACTCCTCACTGAATGCCACGGGCTGGGTTTATTTCTATGACTTGAGAGCTATGGTAAAAGCATGTCTTTCTTTCTGGAAAATGCTCTCAGCAAGTGGGTTTCTTTAAGGAAAAGAGGGAAAGAAAGTCATTTTCTGAACTTCCACGCACTCTGGATTGCTTGCTGTGGACCATCAGGAGGACTCTGCAGAGATGGGGCAGAGGTCCCCTCGCCTTGGCCAGGGGACGCAGTCTGCAACGTGTTGCAAAGTGGGAAGAAATAATGATTGTGACACTCAAGCAAAGTGCCCTCCCCACAAATCCTAGAACCCAAGGATGCCGTCAGGGCATCTGCCTGCTGGTTTTGTAAACAACTTCCACACACCGAGAGACGCTTCTGTATTGAAGCCAAATTTCAGATTTCTCTGAACAATGTTCCTTTTACACGTCATTCATGAGACTCCCATCCCTAGCACACAGTTAGACAAACAGAAATAGAAAGTGAGTGGACAGTGAATAAACGACACTAACCCACGTATCAAGCTGTCCCGTGGAATGAGCCAAAAAGAAATTACAGGCTAGACTGTATCAAATTTATTCATAATCCTACACAGAGGGGAATATATTCTTTCTACTGGCAGCCTAATAGATGTCAGCTTGTCCAGCAGGGAACGCTGCCTGAAAACGCTTCTAGAGACTCTTTGGGTTAAAAAAAAAAATCCCATTTAACATATACGGGATATTAGTAAACTTGATTTCAGATCATCAAAATTTGATGTCACTTGATCCTGCAATCCTGCATTTTGCAAGCCATATTGCTTCACTGTAAATTTGCATTTCAATACGCAGGCAATGGGAGAGGACGTGCTGAGTGGTAGAGGGAAAGCTTAGCATGCCTGAGGTCCTGGGTTCAATCCCTAGTACCTCCATTAAAAAAAAAAGTCTTGTAAAAACAAATAAATAAACGGGCATGTGACACCTTCTTAGCCTATTTCAGAAAGAGGCATATATATACACATGTCAACCTCTAAGTAACCGGGTCTCTTTTACTAGAGCTTGGCAATTTGTCACCTCAGTGTGGTTATCACATAACCACAGACTTATTCAGTTACAAATGGCTGCAAGGAACTTGGTGCCTCACTCACTCTAAAATGGGGGGGGAACCACAACATACTGTTTACTTAACTACATTAGCAAACCCAACCTTCCCTACGAAGCTTCATAAACTTTGAGACCATCAGTCACTGTATTTGCTTCCCCAGCTCTCACTATTCAAGGTACTACTTTTTCAAAGGTTTATATGTGGTCTCTTGACTTAAAAGCGTAGAAGCAAGCAGATCAGAACAGAAACCACAGGTCTCTTTATTTGCAGATCTCCTTAAGCAGAGACAAATAAAAGCAGTCAGATGAGTGCTGCCTCCCGGAACACAGGAGACGTTAAATCAGTGCTTCCTCCAGTTTCTCCTGCGTGTGCCTTTATCGCCGCTGTTAAGAGGGCCAGCGGGACCCTTGCCCTGCTAAGACAAACACTGCTCCCCTTCCCCCACTGAGTCAGTTACTTGGAATTGGAATCCACGATCTTGCAGGAAAAGGGCATTCTTCTCTGTCAGATTCTCTAGCCGTCTCAGACACAGTCTATTTAATGCTTAATACCCCCCAACTCTAGTGATGATTCTGAATAGAATAATTTGAGCCGCGACCTTTATAACACCTCTGCGCTGGGAGCCACGCTTGCCTAGTGGTGACAGAAGGACAGGCTCTCGCTGCGGCAGATTCAAGGGAAGCTGCAAAATGCCTGAGGAAAATCCTCTTGCGGTGGGAGGCCCCCTGCTGTGCTGCTAGTCCCCCCCTAGCCAGCTCCCACCCCCATCTGAGGGCTGTAGAAAACATCAATTAGCACTTGTTGAATTAAATTCTATTAACCCCTTATCTGGTCAATGAACAGTCATCCCTCGGCATCCTCACGGGATGGGTTCCAGGACCCCTGCCCTCGGGTACCAAAATCTGCAGGTGCTCACATCCCTTATATAAAATGGTGTGGTATCTGCATATAACCCACGTGCACCCTTTGTATATTTTAATCGTCTCTAGATTACTTGTAATACCTAACATACAGGCTATGTCAATAGTTGTAAATACAGTGTAAATGCTATGTAAGCAATTATTGGTGTGCGGCAAATTCAAGTTTTGCTTTTTGGAACTTTCTGGAATATTGCTCCCCCTGCATATTTTCGGTCGGTTGAACTGGTGGATACAGAACCTGCAGATGTGGGGGATGGAGTAAGCCACTCCTGGGTATACAGGACCAGCAAGGCAGAGATGAGTAAGACTTACTCTGCTCTTATCAAGGTCGACTCCATGGGAAAGAGACGTGGGTAGCACCGAGGAGCAGCCCTAGCTGGGGAAGATCTCATCCAGCCTGCGTTTCCACAGACCCTCCAAGGATGAGGAACAACTGTTTTCACGGTCTAGGTGTACCGGAGTGAGGACCGATGCTAAATACATCACCATCAAACCTTGAGGGCGTAGCCACAGTCAGAGAAAACACGAACCACTCATGACAGTTTTACTCTTACTAGGGTAGGACTACGGTTTACCTACTCAAAAATGAAAAAAAAAAGTATATATACACAGGGTCGAGGGGATGCGTTTCTTTCCGAAAGCCTTTGGAAACTCACAAAATGGTCAGAGCAAACAGAGTTCAGGTACCAGAGCCAGCTCAGGGAGAGCAGGCAGTACAGTGTGACACTGCCTGCGCTGATGACGGTTTTTTACATTTTACAAAGAATCTTCATGTAAGCCACCACTTTTGAGCCTCCCAATCCTTCAGAGAGGTGGATCGGAGAGGAACTCCGTTATGCAAGAGAAAACAGCCTTTAGAGAGGTGGACAAAGATGGCCAAGTCTGGCAGGTGGCCTCGAAGGGATGAGAATCAAATCTCATGAAGACCCAGTGCCTTTTCCACTATGTCAAGCTGCTTCCCTGATGGAAAGCAAAACACTCCAATCCTCTTTCTTGTACTGTATGCTGACCTCAAAACAAATGCAGCTCAACCACTGAAATAACTATAATAGGTCTGACTCGTGGGGAGCAAATTTTTCACCTTTTAATGTGCGTACACTCTTCCACAAGATGCTAATTAAGTGCTCTAGAAGAAAAGAAGGAGCACGACTCCAAACACCGAGCAGATCAAACGAGGTTATGTCTGTTACCCACAGGACAGGTCGCTACAGGCAAGTGAAGGAAGTACTTGGGAGAATAAACGAGTTCTCTTGAATACAGTCCTCTGGGACACCTAGGGCTCTTCCTAACACCAAGTTGGAAATCAAAATTCCTTGCCCGATTTACCCTAACCACATGGCCTTAGAGGAGAGCTAGCTTGTTCTATGTAATGAATAAGGTAGAAATAAAAGATCCAGCAAATGTCTGTCCTATAGACAGAAACTATATCATTATTTGAAATGTCTATGAAACATATAGAGTCTGTGACTCTAAACCAAGCTGCCAAGGACAGAAATAAAAACAGGGGCCCTCAAATCCCAAAAGCAGCAGAAATTATGCAGGCCTCTAACTGCATCCTCTAACTGCAATGCAAAAAACTATTACAATTGTTCACCAAAACCTCTGGTCACTTGGAAATTAAGACACTCATTCTATTTGCCATGAAGAGTACATCACACACAGACTGAGAGAGGAAACAGAACTTGGCATGTTTAAAATCTGTTCACAGTAAGCAAAGGAACATTTTAATAAAAGTTTTTTTAAAGCTATTACTTAAAGAATCCTTATTATAAAAACACAGATGTTCACAGACAACATGCAAGAAAAAAACCCACTGGCTACCAACCACTACACAACAAGGTGTCATGGCAAAAATATTTCCCTTTCTGCACTCCAGGTTCATCTTCTTTTAGATTCTGGTAAACATTATCTTCATGAGCAGATCTGTGGTTGTTGCCTGGCTCGATTCTGAGCACAACAGCCCACAGCAGCCAGTCAGTAAATAGTTCTAGAATAAATGAGTTTTTAAATATATATATATGGACTGGCCTAATAATCACTGTATCTAAACACAATGAAATATCATATGGACATTTAAAATGATAAGACACAAACACATTTATTCACATGGAAAGGTTTTTCATAACCTAACAGTTAATAAGCAGATCACACAATAGTTTATATAGAAGAAACACGTTTTTTCCCTCCATCCCTCCCATTCTCTCTCCCACATACACATACTACGTTTAAAAATGTTTTACAAGTTGGACAAACATGAGCTAGTAAAAAGAACTATTTTATGATTACGGAGTAATTTTTATGTCTTAAGACGTGAAAAGAGGGAAATAATTTTTTTCTATCGTCAATTAATTTGCTGTTGCTTCAAAGTTGTAGAGAATTTTGTCAAGCTCACTGCCTGGCCCTTCACACAGTGACCGTGCAACCGGACCACCCACTCGCTTCTCCAGGGTTCCACTGTCCTGGCTGAGGGCAGTTCTAGACCAGATCTGCTAGCTCAGAAGGCCACTTGCTTGCTATTCAAATTGGAATTAAAACAGCTAAGTGATGGCTCTTCACTTCTCAAGTGTCTGTAACTTAAGTGTCTGTTAAATAAAAACATTTCTCACAGTTATATTAACTGGTTTTAAATCACATGGAACCAGCCTGCCAGAAAGAAGTGCCCGGTGACATTGACACCATAAAGTTTTCAGAACTTAAAAGAGCATCTATCCTCAATTTATCTGACTTTCGAAGAAGTGAAAATATACCTAACATTGCATCAGAAAGTAATAATTAACCCCCAGTGCTAGTCTGCAGGGCAATGGAAGCAGCACTTAAACACTGCAGTCTGGAAAAATGAGTAAATCGAACCTTCCATTTACCTGTGATGACAGCGTCTTGGTTCTGGGCTTGTCTTGCCACGAACTGTTACTTCACAGAGGAGGCAGGGCCTTTCACTGCAGCCCTGGCAGTAAGAAGGTAAAGGAGGAAATGATTACGATATGTCCTCTGGATTCTCCCCAACTCTCCACCACCTTGGAAGAGGAAAGTCACCCTGACCCTGCTTTTTCAACGGCCATAGTGTGGTAGGGTCGTCCCCAGGAGACCCTGCACCCCCGCTCCCCTCCGGGCCCGGCCCGCACCGCTTCCCAAGCAGCCCTGGGAGAGGAGGGGGCTCGCTGGTTTGCGGAGAGGTGGTTGGCACTGGGGTGGGCAAGCAGCCCCGAACGTTCCGGAGCGCCCCACGAACTCCAACACGTTATACAACTGCGGACTTTTCTTAGAAAGAACCTTGACATTTGGGGCACGGGGTCCAGCCTTTAAACTGAGACAGGCGAGGGAAGCACGGCCGTGCAGTTGTTCCCTGTTAGTCTGGGGAGGGCGTGCGGCAGAACCGACCCTCCGGACTTCCGCCAGCACCAAGCTGCGCAGCCGGGGACTCGGGGAGACCTGGGCGCCGACGCCCCGCGCCGGACGCGAGGGCCCCGGGCTTGGAAGGAAGTCCCGTGGCGGAGACTGCCCTGGGCTCACCCGGCCCGGCCCGGCCCGTCTGGGTCGCCCGACTGCGCTCAGGCGCAAAGTGGGGAAGTTCCTCAAAGGTGAACTAACCCGCGTGTGAGTCTCTCCCGTCGGATCCTAACCGCCCCGCGCACGGCCCGGAGGGTCGGTCTGTCGGGGCCTCCGGCCACCTCGCCTAGGGGATCCCTGTAGGTCTCGGGAAACGCCCCCTCGTCGCCGACGCCCAAACTCGACCACGCTGAAGGAAAGGTGCGCCCGATGTCCCCGCCTGGTAGGCCTTCTCTCCGGGCGACAACCTGAGGACCCCAATGTCTCTGAGGTCCCTGGCCTCCACCTCTGCCCAGCCCCCAGCCCCCAGCCCCACCGACAGCTGCGTAAGCCGGAGCTCCGGGCAGGCCCTGGACGCTCGGAGGGAGGCCGAGCAAGGGGCGGCCCCCTGGGCCCCGGGATCCCCCTCAAGAGCCGGTCGCAAGTGCCCTCGCCCCGCGCCCCTGGGCCCCGCGCATGCGCCGCCGGGCCCCTCCCCGTCCGCCGCCGCTCTGGGTCGCGCGACGGGGGAAGTCCCGGCCGCAGACCCCTGAGTGCGCCCGCCCGCCCCCTGGCACCTGGAGCCGCAGTCCGCTGCCTGCCTGTCCGCCGGGCGAGCTCGCGGAGGGAGGCGGCGCCGGGCTGGGCGCTAGCGGCCGCCTCCGCCCCC